ACCTTTGGAGCTTGTAGAAGCACGTCGACGAGTTTACCGGTCTTGAGAGAATATAGCTCGACTGACGTCTGGTAAAACTCGATGGCCGGCGTGAATCGGCCGGAAGGGCCACCCTTCTGGCTGCCATCGGCTCGAGGGCTACCGGGCACATCCGCTCTGTCTTCGGTAATGTTGTCATTTGCCGCTTGAATTGCGATCTCTGGTGATGTCTGCGGTAGCACAGGCCCGTGAATGACGACAGCCACAAGCGGAGAATCATCCGCCTTGTTTCCAGGAGTTGACCAAGGAAGAACCTTGGCATCGTATACGCCTCCTCGCAACCCTTTAATGCCGGCAACCCGATCTAGGCCGCGCTTATTGACTGAATAAACTTCGAGTCCACCCTCATAGCCCGCCAGCGCAACGTTGTCTGATCCTGGAGCGAATTCGTTGTGTGCAGCAGGAAGTGTATCGAAGCCAAAGTAGTAGCCCTTGTCGCCGGCTTTCATGCCAGCCTTGGAAGCCATATCAAAGTCGATGTCAGGAGCACTATAGAAATGCGGCTGGGCTTGATGAGGGAGCGGGGGTTGGGAGCCTACTCGGGCGTGGGACAATTGCGACTGCATGGAGCTGCGACGGTATGCTGCAGCTGCAGCCGGCTGATGGTAGGCCTCGAGGGGAAACTGCGCATCCATCTGGAAGCTGAGAGGCCGCTTCATATGGTTTGGCATGCTGTTGGGAGGAGACGGCGAAGCAGTCTGGGGTGTTAGGGACTGGCGCTGAACGGCCCATCCATGGTGGAGGCGACCAGAGTCTTCGTAGGAAGAAGGTTGAGTGGGCGGCGACTCGCCCATGAGACTGATCAAATTGCCTGGAGAGCCAGCGAGCCCTCCTCTTGCCCAGTCGTGGTTCGTACTTGCAGCCGATGCGGAGGTAGTGGAAAGTGCATCCAGAGAGGGCGAAACGGTGGGGTGCCCATCGTATGGGGACGGGTCTTGAGTTATGGGTCTAATGTCGGGAGAATGAACGGGAGGCGACGATGCATCGGACGGAGGGCTCTTGGAGGGGCTGCCGCTTCTTTGAGGTTGTTAGCCATCGTGGTCGCGACAAAGGTAGAAGGGCCATAGGGGTTGCGGCAGTGACTCAACGCCGACTATCGCGGGGTTCTAAGATGACGGGCAGGGGTGGAGGGGAACCTACGCGAACTTGCCCGCGGCGAGTTTCGTCACCGCGGCGCTAACTGCACCATCTTTCGCGTTCTTTCTGTCCTTCTTCGAACCTGAAAAGAATGAGATGATGAGTATGGCAATGCTACAAGGGCTCCGGCGCGTATGACAGCTCAGGGGCGCAGGAGAGAGGCCCGAACTTACTCGGCATTCAAGTGGTATTGCGCGGCAGTTGGAGCAGTCTCCTGCTCCAAGGACCTGCGTTTCCGCAAGCCAGCTGTACCGCTTATTTGGGAACGAGGAAGTCGATACGGAACGGGTATGCAAGAGTCGTAGTGCGTGGCTCGGTATCTTCGTATGAGGGTTGTTGGAAGGCTGCAAAGGACGAGAGTTGAGTTGTTGGTCTATTAGAGAGTCGCGCGAAAGTGGTCGACAAAGGCGGCAGGTGACCTCGGATGACGAAGGCTGCCGCAGGCTATTTTTTTGTAAATGCTTTGAATATGAACAGTTTTGCGTGGCAAATAGAGGCAGGCAAAGCAAGACGGAACAAGTCGAATACCGGTCGGTAAGCAAGATGGACGTCGGGTGGAAGGTGAAAGCGAAGGGAAGAAGCAGTAAAGAGAGGGAAAAGAGCGGCTTTCTTTCGAGGCACTGCCAAAGTGGAGAGCAAGAGAGAGATTACTAGGATGGCCAAAGGAAAATCTATAGAAGAAGACAGAAGAGGAAAGACGTGACAGGTCGTGACGGACGTGACGTGACTGCTGTGTTCACGGGAATGCTGCTATCGTGGATCGTTGTTTGAGTTGTTGGTGTTGATGAGTCGAAGGAGAGAGCACGGGGAAGAGTGAATGACAGTGAGGTCAGGTCAGGTAGGCAGGTCCCAGGTCCGGTCCAGTTCCAGTTCCAGTTGGGGTGAGATGCGGTGGTACTAAGGAACCTTGCTGTGTACCTTCCATAGGTACGGAGTACACTACGTGCCTTTAGGTACCCCCGGCCTGACTTGGACCTGCTGCTGCTCTCTCCGTGGCTGATGGCGGGGGTGGGTGGTCTGTCCCGCCTCCACCCCCTCCACGGCGGCAGCGGCATCTAAAGGCAAGATAAGATACGGAGGGGAGGCCTTCCTCTTCCTTCCTTCCCTCACCTTAGGTAAAGGTAAGGTAGGTACCGGTAGCCGGGCGTACTGGTATCCAAACAAGACACCACATTGCACCACCTGGGCACGTAACAGGGCGGCCTCTCTGACGGTTCCAGGTTGCTTCGTTTGGTATGCGAGAGGCCTGCCAACTCTCATACTCAGCGACACCTCATTCTCAGTCATAACAACGTACGTACATTGTCCAGGCACAACAGAACCTTGCTTGCTACCTAGCAATGAAAGCCATATCTGAGGCACCTCGGGCAAGGTCCCTTCAGCTGCTGGCCGCCCGCGGGATGGAAGCGGGGCTTTCGAGTGCTTTTACTCAGGTCTCTCCCGTTTCCCCCAGTTGTTCAGGTTCCATTGCGCGCCTCCATCACCCCCGAGTACGGAGTGCGGCGCGGTGTGCCCCCCCAATCCAGTCTCCCCTCCAAGCCACCCCTCCATGTCCCCCTTCTCATTGAATCTGTTGGAGGAACCTGAACTAGGGTGGCAGGGGTGTCAAGTGCAGACAACTTGCTGGGATGCACTCCAGAGAGGGGGAGGGGGAAGCAGAGAGACAAATGGTGGGATTCTGCGATTGGATTGGCACTGTTCTGCAACTGCACCTTCGAGCTGGGAGGTTCCAGGCTGGACGTAACTCTCGGCTTGAACCTCGCCCGGCAGGTACCTGCGATACGCATCACGGGCAGGACGCGCACCGCGGATACTTGTGCAGTCTGCATTTGGGTACGGAGTACAGCGCACCAATCTTGGACCAGCTCGCAGCGGACAAGGGGGGGTGGCTGGTTCTTGAGACTGCCAGTCTGGGGGCCCCGGTGCTGTGTACCTGGTCATGTCCCTTCCCGTACCTCCACCGCAGCTCTTGCTTGTCGGAGAACTCGAACATGACCGTAGCAGCTGACGGAAGATACATGGTCCCGACGTCCTACGAACAGGTACCTTTCAGTCACAACAGCATGGCAGGTGCGTAAAGACAATGGAAGACACCTCACCTCAAGCTGGGCTGCAGCGGGCGCGGATAGCAGGGCTAACACCTTCAAGACTCCAAGAGAAAGAGGCACTTCCGATCACTTTACACGCCCTCGCTCTCGCTCACTCCTCTCAAACTGACATTGGACCTCAGCAACTGGAGTTGAGTCCAGTCCAGCCCAGCTCAGCCTGGCTAAGCTCCAACTTATTAATTACCTCCTTTATTTGCGCCTTCCGGCCTATTCTCTCTTTTACTAACTAGTTGATTGCAGGCACCGAGTACCTACGCGCGCAGTAGCGTTATCAGTTCATCTATCCTCAGAATTCCTGACGGAAGCGACCAAATCAAACTCTCGTCATGCCAGACGAACGGAACACTGATTCAACTAGGTACGAATTCAATATTGTCTGAGACCCCTCACATCCGTCCACCATTACCTAGATTGACACCATTTCCTTCCATTAATTTCTACCGAATCTCCGAAGTGTCTGCCACACACTCACATATTTTGGTACACATACTCACAAAGTCACTCAAACTCCTACCTAAGCTCAGCTCTGCATAGGCATACAGAGTCTCTTGCCGAGGCCGGAGATGCAGGCGGCAACGGCGCGAGGTTCAGCCAAAAGTTACAATGTCCAAGCCTGGCAAGTCAGATACCTACTACTGCCGTCACAAATCCCATCACAAACCCCCAACAAGCCATCCTTGGAGTGGGGACCAGCTGCTGACACCTGGGCTGTGCGTGCGTTTGCCTCTGTGCCAGCAACTTTGAGGACGAAAGACGGACGACAGACAGATGAAGGTGACGATCTGGGGCTGGTGACCGATGCCATCATCCCGCTTTGGCCTGATGACAAGCGGCGCAGGCTCAACCGATGCTAACTAGACCAAGATTCCTCCTGAGGTGAAATTATGGACGGATTCCAGACTAAATTAACGGTGTCGACTTCATTCGCCGCCAAATCCCTCCAGGATTGCGGTCCTGCTTCCAAGCTTCCCTCTACGGTATGCCGTCGTTATCCCGTATCCTCCCGTTGACGGTCATCCGTCCGTCCTATCGCGCCGCTTCCCCATTGAACTGCCACACACTCGGCGGCTCAGGGCCAGATTGTCCGACTGACAAAGACACCTGACCCCCCTCGGTGGAGGAACGGGGGGCACCACGTCAGGTGAACGAGCCACTCATAGCTCTACTGTGGACCACGAGAACAACGCACCATAGCTGACGTATGGAGGGGCTCTCCTGGATACCCCTCCTCATTCCCCCAGCCTCGCCTTCAGCTTTACTGGGTGGATTGCGAACCTCGATCATCGCCGTTTCAAGAATTGAGATGCCGGCAAGTGTCACGACTCTGTTGAGGCAATGCCTACTTGAGTTTCTGGCTACCCTCGGTTCAATTACTTAGGCAACCCATTCGGACGAGGCGTAGCAACGCGAGACGAAGCCTGGACGAGGCGACGCGCGATGAATGCAAGGCACGGGGCCAGCCGCGTCCGCTACGCCGTCGAAGCGCAAGCAAGCGCATGGGGCGGTCTGAGGTCGAAGCCATCACCGGATGAATCTGCCGTCATCGACGAACTCAAGGCCAATCTGGTCGATGCTAAAGACGGACAGAGCAATGCCATCGCCGAAACACGATGGCTGCGACAAATCGCATTGCGCCGCCAATTGGCAAGCGTCCGACGCTCAATGAATGACTGCCACATCTCAATGGCTGGATTGCTCCGGTTCACATACACTTCTCATTGCTGTTCGACACACTGCTCAATTCTGGATATTTCTGCTTCAGCTAGCGCCGTCATATGTCACACTTCAAAACTCTGATACCGAAGGTAGTTCCCCCTCAATGGGAGCCCACTGGTCGAGCCAAACTCGATATGCATCCATCCGCCACTCCCCATCCTGCTTCACCCAGTCTGCGCTACCCGCCCAGCTGAAGACGTTCTCAGCACCATCCAACCCCTTCCTCCGAACTCCCCCCTTGAGCATGACGTGCACACCCTTTTCGGTAGCGGAGCCGATCGCACTCGTGATCCAGTGCTTCCTCGCCGCGACAGAGCTCCACATGTCCGCCCGTAGTTGACGGAGGTCTGATAAATACAAAAACATGTCAGCCGTCCCCGTGCCTCGAAACACATGTTGGATACTTATGTAGGTGGTAAAACTCACTCTCGTGCTTCTCTGCCGCCGCCGGACCAATTTTCACTTTGGCATCGGGCGTGTAGAATTCGATCCAGCGCTCGTTCAAGTCCTTGTTATCGCTGGTCCGGTAAAAGTCCCGAACCCGGAGCCGGAGGTCCCGCTCCATCGCCGTCTCGCTGGCCGAGAACGGCTCCATTCTAGAGTAGCTGTCGTGGGCCTCCACGCCCTCTGTGGCTGCCAAGGAGGCCATTCTTGTCCCCTTTTATGAGTTGGCCAAGTACCAAAATCTTGGTCGTCCGTCAAGAGTTTGTGTGTATTTGCAAAGGAATACTCTGTAATAAGGTACGGAAGGTGGTGAATGTATTGTGAATAGCGTACTATTGCAAGCACGTGGGAGGAAGCAAGGTGACGTTTATATCCGTCCCCGTTCCCCAAGTGCGGGACGGCGGGCGGGGGGGAGGCGCATCCCCACAAGTCTTCGGCCCGGAAGCTCTGACGGCACCCGATGAAAGCTTCGGAATGTTTACCTCGGGAAAGAAAATTGCAATATCACTGCCTACCTACAACTTACTGCAAATCCATGTTTTGATGTCTTCCTCCCGCCTAAAACTACCTGGCGGGTTCTGGGATCGATTTGTATTGATATTGGAGCGCTGCGCCTTTGCGTTTCTCGGAAGTTCCGTCGGAAAGGGACTCAAGAGTTGACCTCCACCCTAACTTCCAAAACGCGACATGATCTTTTGGATTTTATTAGTTGAGGGCATATAAATACATCAACTCGGGTATGATATTCTTCTGCGCAAGTTGCTAGGCTTGTGATAATGCTTGTACTGTACATGATATCGTTCCCTCCATTCCATCCATACGTATTACCCCCTTCAAGATCGGATGAGAAGCTCGCCATGCTCACCTAATGGATCAGGTCGAAGCCGAAGAATAAAAGTTTGAGATGAAAAACTTCGTTACGAGGTCTCAAATGGATCGTCAACTGTGCCGCCGCCATTCATCCGCGCTCCGGCGGTACTTGTCACAGCCTCTCCGGCATCAGACTTACGTCGCCCGTCTCCTTTCGCCTTGGTAGTCCGAATTGAATCCTGAGAAGAGTCCAGCTCAACCTGAAGAAGCATGCGTCTTGCTCTCATCCCGGGAGTCTCGGTTCGTACATGCTCCGGATTGGATTCCTCAAGCCTTCTCTTCTTAGTTGAGGCCGACTCACGGGAAGTATCGCCGTCGTCGTCGAGGCTGTAAACACTGCCGTATCGAAGAGCAATACTTCCATCGTGTCCCGCACCCCTCGATGTCTCTTTGATATTCTAGTTTGCTCCGAACTTTGCAAGTCGTTTGTTCCTGACATCAGAGGGAGTTGCTGGCGTTGCAGTCTTGGACATGGAATGACCGGAAGGGCTTGTAGTCGCTGGTATGACAGGCTTGTGAACCAGCAAGGGCGATATAAACCCTTCAGAATGTCTGCTGTCAGTTGGAGACTTGCCCTGACCAATGCGACTATTGCCTCGAGGCTCTATAGCCGGAGCTCGAATCTTGTTGGCCTGGCATTCCGCAAGAATCTGCGCCTGAAGCTTCAGAATGTCTTGCGGAATGGTTTCGGCTTCACCACTAGCATCAATCGCGATGTGCGAGAGCTCCATTGAGTCTTCAAGAACACCGTCGTCCGCCCGAAAACTGTTCGGGAAAGGCACTTGGCTGCCAAGATTCATCTGAGGAGGTGGAGGTGCCCGCGCTGAATGTGCCGGATGAATCTTGGCTGCTGGAGGTGACCTCTTTTTCTTCCTCCCACGCCTGATACGCCTCATCGGACATGCCAAGCCCCAGAACTGCATCCAGCATGTCGAATTTTCCATTCTTGATCGGGCTGCCCGCTAGCTCTCGGTCGCCTCGCCATCTGTTCACTAAAAGATTGCCCTCCGATTCAATGAAGATATTTTCGATTCCCGGAAACACTTGGCAGGGGTCAAGTTCGATGGAACTCGTTGGGCTCTCCTTGCGTTTTTGTGTAACCTTAGCGACGAGATCTAGAGCCTGAGCTTCGCCTTTAAGAAGCCTCTGGTTCAGTACAATGGGCGTGAACTGCCTGACCCACCAAATAGTGGTCATTCTTGAAAGGTAGTACTGCTGCATCCAAGGAATCGTGGTTGCCAGGCTATTCGTTGTGTGGGTGCCATACCACTCACCCTGCAGGAAAGAGAGCCTTTCGAGTGTGGCTAGAGCCGACACGACTGGCGAGCGACAATTATTGAGGGCCTGAAGATCAGGGAAAGTCATGATGTTGGACATTTCCTTGTTGAAGTGCAGATCTGTCCGGCTGGTGATGCCCTTGATCGAATCCTCCAAACGCGTTCGCCATTGATTCGCTTGAGGAAGCGTCTGAATACACCAGAACCCCTCGACAAGGCCTCCGTCTTTGACAAGCTCTTGAGCGAGACCTGTCCCGCAGCCGAAAAGTCCAGAAGGGCCGTAGTCGCATCCGGTAAGCATGGCGAAACAGGTGACGCTTTTCTTATTGTAAACCCCAGCTTTCAAGCGACGGATGTCTCTCATGTCGAAGATTCGCGCATGCTCCTTGAACTTGTGGTTCTTGGTATCCCGCAGGTCTCTGATGACAACAGTGGAGCCGAACATGAAGCAATCGCCATCCTCAGACCAGACTGCGTCGACGAGACCTTTTTGCTGGAGTAAAGCGCACTCAGCTTCAGCTTCGCCTGGTGCCTGGAGCCAAGGCACGAAGATGTGATCCAGCGTGTTTCTTATGAGGGTGGTGGCCGACTCTCGTTGACCATGCCGTTTGGAGCCCCGCTTGATTTGTGGACGCTGTTCCCTGTCGAAGACAAATACCACATGGACACCGAGCCGCATCAACGGCAGCAAACGTTCGAGGATGGCCCTCTCTCGCGGGTGGGAACCTGGTGTTTCTAGTCGGAATTGTCAGCCTCAGGGTTCTCTTGGGTTTCCAATGGGAGACAAGGATGTGTAAGTTGGAAATGGTGCACAATATACACGAAGGGACAATATTGGAAAACCAATCCAATGCAGTAATGAGGTTTTGACTGGGATGGGTGACCAACTTTGTTGGATATCAGCTTCCTGAGCGTCAGACACATCCTTGAACTGCCAATGGGCTGCGTCGACAGCGATACGAAGTGGCCGTCCATGTTCCTTCAAGTGATCAGTTGCCCATTGTGCCAGGGATCTCTCGACGCCGGCTCGGTCAATGAGTTCCCAAAAACTGATAAGCTACGATTAGGACAAGTGGAAACGACTGTCAAATCAAACTCCCGCGAATATAAATCAGCTTGAACGCACCCCGCAATGCCCATCTTCAGGATCTGCTTGGTTCGAGAAGGAATCGGTGATAGGAGGGTTTGGAGGTGTGGAACCGTGGAATACCACGTGGAGGCAGGCGCGTGTAAGTCGGCTGACTATATTCATCCGTTAAATATAGCACTCAGGGATCACAAGAGAGTGACTCGCAAGCTGAATTGTGGGATAAATGAAGCACTTGGATGACTCGCACAAGTATTGAGATGAAATAGAGCAAGAGGGAAAGAGATGGAAAACAAAAAAAAAGAACAGCAAACATACTGGAAAAGGTAGGTAGGCACGGGGGTGCTTCAGATACATCACCAACATCAACCCCGGAAAGTGCATGCGCACTGACCACCATCAACCACTTTGACTTTAGACACCTTCAATACCTCAATCCCAGATATCTCGCCAACGAGCAATAATACGATAGTTCTGAGCAGAATTCGGGGCGAAGCGAGCGCCCACCAACCCATCAGGACCTTGCCAGAACTGTGCGCGATTAAGGCGCTGCCGTCGGCAATGTCTTTGGAATTTTAGAATTCGATTTCATGCACTGGCTACGCTTTTGACCGGCCACTCGTTGCATTGAGTAAGGGTTCCCAAGCCGGACACAGAGCAGTCGCCGGCCCCACGTGTGCCGAACGGTCCCGTGTAACCCACTCCGTCCCCTGATCATGGCACTAGAAGTCTACTTACCTGTTTAGGACAATATGTAAAGCAGTCGCAAGATACCTTAGGTATTGTGCGCAGTAAGCAGTCGGTCATATTCACATCAAGAACACTCATACCCTCGCAATCGTCAACAACGCGTCACTGGAAAATTCGCAGATGCCGTAACAGCCACAACGTGGTGCAGCTTTCATATACTGTTGATACACACGACTAATAATGTACAGCAATGACTATTTGCCCATCATAAGCTCTGACAACGTTCACTCGCTCCTGATAATACCCTCCAAAACTCCGTGCCACGCATCTGGGACCTCATCTCAAGCCTTAACCCCCCTAGCATTAATCTCACCCTTCTCCCCAATGTTCAGACGAAGGCGACAGTCGGGGCAGTACCACTTTGTCGTCCGCGCAGGAATATGGGTCATACCCATGCACTCTAGATGGAACCATTCCTTATCGCAATTCTTTTAAACGCAGAAGAAAATAGTTGTCAGTATAGCTCTAGGCCTCAAGCTAGACGGAAAGTACTTACTTCATTGTCGCACGCAATCATCTCGCCAAAGCTGACTCTGTTGCAGTCGCAGTATCGTGGCTCTTTCGGGTCGATTGGGTTACCCTCGTCGTCTTCTTCCAACTCGATCTCGATCGGCTGGCCCTTTTCCTTTTTCTGAGCGCGTTTCTTCTTGGGAGCCGCTTTTCGCTTACCCACGGCACTGCTGCCTCCAGCGTTGGTCTTGCTGACGATACCAGGCACAGGCTTTCTAGTCCTCTTGCTCTGCTGTCGCTGCTCGGGTGCTGGCGTATTCCGCGCGGTACTAGCGCGACGGGGTCGGTCAGTTGCTAGCGAGGGCTGTGGCTCTTGACTCATAGCTTTTCCTCGCGAGCTGGGACGTCTCCCTTGGCCGTCGGGCACCGGTGTGGTCCCTGGTGTCGCCGCACGAGAGCTTGATTGTTTGATCGAGGGCGCTGCAGATGAAGAGCGCTGTGCTTGCGGAACCTGTGGCGCCGGCACTAGTGTGGAATTATCCTGTTGCTGCTGGCTCTTCTTTGCCATCTCGCCCCTTGTCTCCCTTCGAGCTGCAGAATCACGAACCGGGGGAAGAATGGGCGTGGTAGACTTCTTGGGGGACAAGATGGGTGGCGGAATCGGCGTCTCCGCGGGTAGCTTGGTCAGTATACTTGCCGGGGCAGTGCTTGCAGCTGACGCCGGGGGTCCAACCGAACCAGTCGGCGAAGAGGCCGGCGCGGACGTGTTCGCTGGCTTCGCAGCCGCAACGCCAGTGCCTATGGTCGCTGAGCCATCTTGTCCCGGAACAGGAATCGGCACTGGGGTTGTCATCTTGGGAGTGACCGCGGTACCGCCTGGTGTAAGAACAGGAGGTGGTATAGTAGATTCTGTTAGAGGTTGCGCAGCGAGACTGGCTCTTAGATGAGGAAGCGGGACCGGGGTCTCCGTCTTGGTGCGCTTTGGAGCGGGACGAGGCGCTGGTGTCTCAACTGGCGGCTGCTCAGGCTTCTCGGCCTCGGCTTCTGGGACAGAATCTCTCTTCCGCTTGTTGCCGTTGGATTTTGGCTTGGCAGGAGTCTTCGCTTTGCTTGCGCCTTTCGGCAGATCTGCAGCTGTGTTGGTTGCATTGTTGTTTGCAGTGGAAGGTGTGGTAGCGTTGTTGTTGTTGGTGTTGTTGTTGGTGTTAGTGGTGGTGGTGGTGGTGGTGTTTGTATTGTTCGCGGCCGATGATGACGATGCTTCATGAGACATCAATAGTCTTGCAGCTTCCCTAAACTGTCTGGCTGATTCTTCCGCCTCTTCTGCAGCTTGTTTAGCCAGTGACTCTCGCTTGAGCTTCTTGGCCTCGTTGAGTTTCATGCCACGATTACTCAGCTGGATGTCATCAGACGCAAGCGCAGCGGCACTAATGGCACCTTCTGGTATTGGTTTGTTACCGGCTTCAGCATCAGGGGCCAGAGCCGCAGGCACCTGGTCAAAGACTCTGCCCTCGTCCTCGGCCTTCTTCTTTGCCTCCTTGTAGGCATCAATGCCACGGCCGAGCGTCTTGAGTTCTCGCAAAATCATGGTATCACTAGGACTCCATGTTGCGTTCTTCTTCATCCGCTTTCTAAGCCTCGCAAGTTCCCATGGCGTCAATTGCAACCAGGGGGCATCCGCGCTTCCTATCACGGCGTTCTCTGGCGGAGGTTGCAGCACAACAGCGGGGGTTGCCGCAGCAGTCAGTCCCGCAGCAGATTTGGGAGGTCGCGCCGAGGACGCAGCCTTTGGGGTCTTTGGTGGTCTCGCTTTGGGGGTCTTGACAACTTTAATGCGCGGTGCTGGTGTTGTCCGAGCTGGCGTGCGTCCCAAAGATTCATCATCTTCCTCTTCAGAGCTCTCATCACTGTCGTCCGAGTATGCTACAAACTGGTCATACGGCGGCAGCACTTCACCAGGCACAGTAATCCTGGGTATCCGTGGCCTTCGCACCTTCTCGCCATCTCCGTTTCGCATCACCCGCGGCGCTCTGACAAGCTGAGATTTGGAGGTCGCCACCGGGCTCTTTTGTTCCTCTGCCGGGTAATTTTCCAGCAGGTTCTTTAACTTGGCTAGTATCGTGTTTGCGCGATTATAGTGACGGTTGACGTTCTCAGACATGCGAACTGCCTCGGCATGCGCGTAAACCCGGGAGCTGACTGCATGGTTCAGACTGTCGGAAATATCTGCGCGCAACTGTACAGGAGATGGGCGCTCCTCAGCGGGGATGCTGGGTAGCTTTCCCCAGGTCGAGGTGAGGTTGTGAACGTTGATTGACGCTTCGGTGTAAGTTTGGTCGAGCTTGCCGATCAGGGTCAACGATCGCGTCATATCGGAAGGAAGGTATTCGGTAAAGTCAAGGAAGTCGGTGACGGTAGCTTGCGCGTCTGGATCGGCGCGCATCTCGAGTGACTCGACGGAGTTGCTGATGGAACCGAGCGACTGGTGTATATCGTGTTCGACCGAGGTCCTGTTTTTGGGCGACACCTCAATTTCCATGGCGTCTGCGCCCTCCTCGGCTGAGGCCATTTCGTCGGAAGAGGTGCAATGAGAGTATAATTCGTCGGCCTGAAAATCGGTGCATGGATCACGATGGATGCATCTGACACTGGAGAATCGATGGCGGTTGTTGGGCGTGTTGCGAAGTACAGTTGCGCATGCTTGTGATGAGGTTGCGGGTCGCGTATGCAAGGGGAGTCGCGACCTGACGTGATGTTCGGTTTAGCTCTGTGAGCTCCCTGCCGCTAGGGACCTTGGGGGCAGCTGCGATGGTGGTGGTGGGGCTTCCAACATCCACTGACAGATGCGCTGGCTAGATTGGTACAGTCCAAGTCCGTGCACAACTGGGACTGGCCATGTCTGTCACGGATTATTCAACTTCCGAATACACAAATAACCCTGGGTACATACCTTTACTTTGCCTCCTCCTATCCCATCAGGTGCTACCTTTGAAGAGGGCAGTATATCAGTCTCCAGTCTTTTCTTAACTTCTACTTTACTTCAAAATTATTCATAAGCGAATCCAAGAGGGACTGATTCGGGTTAATGTATGATTTATTATGACCTTTTGAGAAAGTACGCATGTGTACTTATATTGGTACCCATTTAGCAGGTGATGGGATACCACATGCTGGCACCTAATTGGCCTGGCCTGGCATTTAGCATGGCTGGCACTCACCGAGAAGCATCCAATGCATCCAACGCCTTTCGCGACTACTATTTCCTAGGTACCCATCGTATTAATGAAATCTCTTGTGTATTTTCGATACCATTCCTCAGGATGTACTCTTCCCTAGAGAGCTGGGATTTCCGCTTCGAAAAAATGGTGCTGGCCTTGATCGCCATATCAACTATGATGATGGACCGCCAACAGCTGCTTGAGAATTGGATGTGGAGCATATTAAATCAACTCTGTTTCTATCATGTCCAAATCAAAGCATCTGTCTGATCAAGGAAAAGCTAGCCTATGTCAGCTGGCATCAAAGTCAACCACCTTCATACAAACTTGGCATCCATCTGTGGGTAGATTCCCTGTACCCTTTTCCATTTCAACTCGCTGGACCTCGAAAAGGCGTGTTTAGTCTGAGACTGTGCGCCATCTGCAGTCGCACTAGCCCCGGGCTGCAATCTGTCGATTTGCTCACAGATCAGATGTTCTTTTCGGGGATCTGGGGTGTGGGCGATGACTCTCAAATCTGTTCCTCTTCGAAAGTCGAGGCATACCAAAGCGTGCCCTTTAGCCGTGACGACCTTCAACATCGTCAACCCGCTAATTAAGAGCGTTGACGAGCTGATAGGCCTATCGATCGAAAATCCTTCGGTAGATCTTCTGAGGAAAGCTGAGTTGTAAGGGCCCCTGATGTTCAGTACACTTCCCCGTCGTTCATCATGCAAGAGTTTAGCGATGATGAGCTGCCCGTCTATCCTCGTCACTGACTGTAATTCAGATACTGAGCAGCAGCGAACCCGCCTCCGGAGAAAGTCGTTCCATGTCCATTCTTTTACCTTCATGCTCTTCCCGACCAAGACGATAAAAGCAGCAACGACCCAAAGGTAGGTCGCCAGGTTCGAGGGATCAACACCATTGATCCGTTGGCCGACACTGAAGCCAATGCCCAAGCCGCCTGCTGCAAATAATACGGCTGTAAAAATTACGCCCCAGACGTATCCTGGGCATGACACCGTTACGCACGTTTCATCGACAACCCACTCATCCATATACTCTGTCAGCTTCTTAAGCTCGTTGAGTCGATGCGTTGCATCATGCTGTTCTCTTGGCGGAGGGTGTGAGCTCCGCACTAACCCGGACCGCGAGAAAAACCCACATTCCAGCGCTTCGGAAAGATGAAGAACGTCCGGCCTCTTCATACTGGCGAATTCACTGGTGTACATGCGGAAGAAGGCCCCGAACTTGCCTTCCGCGAGCGGCTGGACGTCATCTTGGATGAAGCCTGTCAGAGCCATGACGTGTCGGAAGCTGGTGAAGTCCGACAAGAAGACCGGGCAAGTCATAACCAGAGGTACCATCACAGTTATGACCTCGTCCATGGAGTTGAGTTGTAGACGTTGGCTGTAGCCTACAAGATCGATATCGACCTGGCCCGACCGATTGTCTTCATCTCCAGAGTATCTCCATTGTAAAGTCGTCTTCAAGCCATTGGTGTAGGCTTCATGCTCATGGCTTTGATGCTTGAGATGCATGACTATCTGGTTGAGAATATTGAATGCTGAGTGTGCAGTGTTCATATTATCGAGGTCCGATGTTGCCGAATACTCAAGATCTCTATCTTGGAAAAGAAGCGCCTGTGATAGAAGGTTCAGAATCGGGAAAGCGGGAAGAGTTCGAGCGAGTATTCTACGTACCTTGAAACCTTCGAACCCCGTCTCATATGCTACGGCGCAGATTTCAAACGATGTTGCTGGAAGGCCAGAGCGGTTGATGAATCTCAAGGACATCAAGATATGTCTCAAAGCCGAATTCAGTCCAAAGCGAAACTTATTCTGCTCGACACAATGAGCCGCTACCTGGCTGTCCTCAAATGAAGCGGTTCCCTCCTTCTCATTCGCCTCAACCATTCGCATATACTCTTCGCACTCCTCCTCCTCGTCCATTTCGCCCCGTTTTTGTTGCGTATCACCAGATTCGCGAACTTTGGACAGGATGGCCTCTGCGGCCCTGACGGCGATTGTGGAGTTTGCGTGCAGGTCAATCAACAACAGCTTGATCTTGGTAATTCGCTTGATAAGAACACTAAGAACGTTTGTTTGCCAATAAGAGCCTGACGAGGTCTGGACGATAAGTCTCGTTAAGACCGCTGAGATGTAGTTGATCAGCTCGTAAGTAGCTCCGAGGCTGCGTAATGCGTCTTCCTGAGGTTCGGATTCTCCCATGCTTGCAAAGCTCTCTGCAGCACCCTGGCCCTTAGAGACTTGCCTGATGAGACTCGAGAGCCTGTGGTGATCCGAGAGTTGACCACAGTGCTCTGCGTTAATGCATTCGTTGTCGAGAAGACAGATTGTGATGGCTGTCAAGACTTTCTGGCAGAACTTGGACAAGTCGCGATAGCCCTTTTCAGTGTCTCCTTGCAGGAACCTTTTACTGGAAAAGTCCAGTGGAGTGTCCGGATTCTTAGCAATTTTCATCAATCGCTCTGTTTCCACGTGCCACAAAGCCTTGAGCCCGTCTTCAGATTGGACGTACAACCCGGCGGCGTCGAATTCGGGATAGTAGGCCGCACCTTCCGATCTGGGCAAGACTTTCTTAAGCACTTCCTCGACATCGCATTGGGCCGGTCCACCTCTGGGCCTAGGACGCTCTTCTGAGTCGATTGAGGGTCCTTGGCAAGCTGGGTGGACGGGCTGACGTCGGAATCGATGGAAGAACTCTTTCGGCTTATCGCCGGCAGATTTTAATGTGATACGTCTCGGAAGTGGAAGAGGTTCAATACCCGAACCCGACCGATTTGGTGCGTTGTATTTTGGCGAGGAATTTGGTTGACTGGGAGGAGTTTGAGGACCGGATGCCTCGCGAGGCTGGCCTTCAACGCCGGTCTTCTCTTCCGGGCTTCCGCCTAGAGTTACAGACCTTGAAGACATAGTGATGACTTCGCAGCTGATACTTCTATGAGTGATGGAAGTGAGGTTGGTGTGATCAATGATTGCTGTCTGAGCAACGAGGCGTGGTCAAGGGAAGCGAAGAGGCTCGATATGGGCTTCCTCCTTAAGTCTGAGCTCGCCGACTAGAGCCAGCGGGACCTTTTTCTTGAGGTCAGCCTCATCGCCTAAGGGAATTCTATGTCAACTACAGGATTAACAAGGGATTTCTGTTTTGTTTTCGGCCAAGCCTTCGAGGCAAGCTGGATGGGGGCCACCGAGGCGGATCTGGTGTCAGACTGAATGGCGAACCACTTTGAATGGGAGGCAGCATTGTCCGGACTCTTCTGCAGCTGCTAACTCGCACACGAAATTCAAGCAAGCACATAAAACTGAAGATTTCCCGATGATTGGGCAGATTTCCATCACTGCCTGGTGCAAATTCGGTGAGGGTGGTGGTCAGACAGGCAGGCTGTGCGACGCAGGAGCTTCGCCTTACCGTCACCTAGAGCAAGCTCTGGAAAGATATCTTGCGATTATCAGTCTCGAAATACTCTCTTAGTATTTGCAATTTACACCAGGGAGTATAGGGAAATGACTCGCGATAGTGCCAGAGCTTGCGACCTCAACGTCTACTTCGCGGCGTTGAAATTGCAAAGCCAACCCACTAGTGCACATGTTTCCTCAGTACCCGTTGAGGAAAGATCATCCCAGTTATCGACGCAGACACTCGGAACTAACCAAGAGACGAGTTTGACGGACCAGCAGCAGGATCCAAAACAAATTGATCAATCAGACGAACGTGATCTCACCGCCCGCTTCGAGGGCGAGCACTCTTCAGCAGAGGACAATCATTACCTACAACCCGGCCATGAATTACTTGCAGAGGTTTCGGATTCATCATCTCACAATCCTCCGACTTACTGCAGAAATCAAAGTTTTCTTTCAGGCCTTGGCCTACGATCCAGGAAGCTCATCGGGAGCAATAGTGATAGCGAGAATGATGAGGACGTTGATGGCAATGTCGAACAAGACAATGTTTACGACAGCGATCTGGATTCAACCTTGGGCAGCACAGGTCAGCAAAACCACGCTCGTAAAATGAGAAAGTGGAAAGGCCTTGCCAAAGGGCGGTTCGAAAGAATGCTTCTCGATTGCATCGTCAACACAGGTCTGAGTTCAAATCACAATGATGTAAATGTTTTTAACGCCACTAACCTTATGTGACAGACAACATAGCACCAAACTATCGAGATATTTTTATTGATCCCTCCATCATCAACAAGCTAGAGCAAGTGACTTCGCTTTCGCTCTTACGGCCGAAAGCTTTCTCTTGTGGCGTGCTCAAGGGGAATAAAGTCACAGGATCCATTCTCTATGGCCCTCCAGGCACGGGCAAAAGCATGTTGGCTAGAGGCATGGCAAAGCAATCAGGATTCAACATGCTATCTATCTCAACGTCCGAGGTCTGGCAGAAGTGCCACGGAGAAGACGAAAAAATGATCAAGGCTATCTTTTCTCTGGCCCGAAAACTATACCCTTGCATCGTTTTCGTTGATGAAGCTGATGCAATGCTTGGTGCGCGCAAGGCTGGCGAGAAGAGACATATCAGGTCGATGTTGAATCAGTTTCTCATGGAGTGGGATGGCCTGATTACGGACACGAGAGCTCCCTTCGTATTACTTGCTACAAATAGGCCGTTTGACTTAGATCCGGCCGTTCTTCGACGAGCGCCCGTACAGATACATCTCAACATTCCCACGCAAGAAGAACGAACCGGGATACTGGGCTTGTTGCTCGAGGGTGAGACGCTGCAACACATCAATACGGATCACATCGCCAAGTTGACCCCGAACTACACCGGGTCAGATCTCAAGAATCTCTGCGTCATGGCTGCTACCAATTGTGTGAACTCACAGCTGCGCGATACGACCGAGCGTATTTTGACGAGGGAACACTTCTACACGGCAATCCAGACTATCAGCGCGACCAACATAGGCAGAGTGAGCGCGAACGAATTCAAAAGATTCGAGGAGCGGCTGCAGGGGAATATTGAGGGCTCAGCGAGAGATGCAGACGAGGATTAGAGTAAATGATAGCTGTGCCTAGGGAATATCTCTTTAACTCTTCGAAATAGATAGTAATATCAGATTGTTACTGGTATGTCCAAGTATTTACTGAAATGAAGTTGGAGCTTAATCCCACACCTCTTTCTTAGAGCACTTCCCTTTCGAGTTCCAGCCTCAATCCAGACTTCGATAAAAACGAGATGCTGACCATCTAGGTCGGCTCTATCTCCGCCATAAGCTCTGAGTCCAAGCACCGTCCTGGACGATCTTTTCTGCATCACCATTGACTTACGCTGTAGGCCTCCGCGCACTGCTACAATGTGCAGACGGCATTGTATCAAGTGTTCAGCAACAGCGTCGGTGGCGCTTATCTCCCTGCTTATGTGAGAAGAGGCAGGGTGACACGGCTGGATCGTTGCAGCGAGTGAGGTGTACAATCGAGCTGCTAGGGCAGTCTGCCTGCGGCTGTGCCAGTGGCAGCCTGCTTTTCTCAAGATCAGGCAAACTGGATTCTGATGTACTCTTCGAGGCTACCCGCATCTAAACTGGAATAAATCATGGCTTCAAAAGTTGTTCCAGCTACATCTTATCTAGAAAGCAGGCTCTGCTGCTTCTTTCGGATCCTTTTTTTCGAGGCCCAACATGAAAGTCGACGACGAGACAGTGCAAAACGGGCATCAGGAGTCCAACGAGGAAGCCAGACACGGGAACGAGCCGGCGTATAGCGATGCATCTACACCAACTATTGATGCGAACAATCACATCTCAGCAATTGAAGTAACTCCTGACAATCAAGTTCAAGGCCAGCACTTCACCGTACTCCCTGTTGTCAGCGTTCGGCATGAGAGCGGCCATAACGAGCAATCTGCCACAGAAGATGGCGAAATCAAAGGAACAAAGCCGCACAACTGCCATACTCTACTCGAAATTGTCGTGAAGAGCGCGGACAGTCAAAAACAGGAGGAAGGCAAAGCTGAAGACGCCGCTGGAAAAGAAAGCTCAGATTCCAGCGCAGCCGATGCCAAACCAAAGCCAATGGAAGCTCCTGATCTTGAAGAGCAATCCGAGGGGTCCATCAAAAAGTCACGCGCCGCGTGGAGATCTATGCGATTCCCTAACGGCATTGAGAAGATATTCAACGACACTAAGCGTAAGAGTTCCCAACTCGACAGATATCGCAGATACGACTATTATTCCAGGAGCGACAGCTCTTCCAGCAGCGACACTTCTTCCAGCAGCGACAGCTCCGCCGAAAGCGATGGCCATTCCAAAAGCGTCGATGATGCATCCTCATGGGCAGAGTCTGCGGCCAGCGAAGTGAACCCAGAGGACGTTGACGACAATTCACCATCCAGACTGGAATGGCTGAGGCAGAAGAGAGAAGACAACGAGAAGAATCCTCATCTTGACCAACTGATGGCGTTGGTTGGGCTGGAGAATGTGAAGGCTCACTTTCTTGCCGTTAAGACCAAGGTCAAGGAGAGTAAGAGGACTGACCCTGGCTTGTCAAAGTTGCGACTTCACCTAGTTCTTCACGGGAAGGATGGAACAGGTAAGTCCTTTTAAATCAGAGAAGTGAACGCATAATTGACTGCCTTGCAAAGGTAAGAAAACTATAGCAAAACTTTACGCACAATTTCTCCTTTCTATAGGAGCCGTGAACAGCCGAGTCTTTTTCAAAAAGTCGACCGCCAAGCGAGGTTCGTATAGATCTCGCTATAGAAGATCATCCTCGGAACCACCCACGTGTCCGACAGTAAGTAAAACCACGGCCTCGGGCTACTCATTACTGACAATTACTAGGTTGTGTTTTATGACAAACCAAAATTCAGTCAAGCTTCGACAGACAGTGAATACTACGATTCCTCCGATAGTGACGACAGCAGCTCCTACAATCCTTGGGACGACCGCTTCTCATACCGTACACAGAGCTCAGATACCATGGAAGACCTCACAAAGACCGCGTTGATGTCTGTTGTAATCATTTCCACGCGAGCCAAGTCTCTTCTCGAGTCTATCGACGGCAACGAGAAGGCTTTACAAGAACTACCGAGCTCTCTGGTTCTTGCAGACTACAGTGACGAGGAACTCAAACAGCTAGCTGTGCGTATGATACAGAAAAGGGGCATGTCGGTTGAGGGCGGGTTCGAAGATCGCAGCCTTCGTGCCTTGGTGCAGCGAGTGGCCCGAGAGCGGAAGTCGAAATCGTTTTCCAACGTTCACTGCCTAGAGGAAGAATTGGACAAGGCATACACGAGGCGAGCTCTTCGGCTACAGAGAGAATATGCTCGATGGCTCGGGAACGATTCGACAAGAGGCTCTCAAACAGCAGATTTTCCACGACGAGAACTGGAAGACGGAGACGACCTCAACAAGTGCGGGCTTAGCGACTCAACCAATGGCCAGAAAAAGGTCCTCAAGTCAGAGGACCTTTTAGGCACAGAGCCGAAGGATCTGAGAAACGATAATGAGTCGTGGAAGAAGCTTCAGGATATGATTGGGCTCGAAAAGGCCAAGAGCGAATGCGGCGACATCATCGACTATGCCCAGATCAACTACCGTCGAGAGCTTCAAGGGATGGAACCGCTCAAGATTGGTCTCAACAGAGTATTTCTCGGACCGCCTGGCGTAGGTAAAACGACTGTTGCGCAGCTTTACGGCCAGATCCTCATCGATCTCGGTCTTGTCTCTGGAAAGAAGATCATGTTGCGAAACCCATCCCACTTGATTGGCGCATACATAGGGCATTCAGAGAAAATGACCATGGGCGTCTTGAAGGAAGCTCGAGGGAATGTTCTGACCATTGATGATGCACATATGCTCTATCCCGGAGCCCAGGACGCCGGCCACAAGACGGACGTCTTTCGCATCGCTGTCCTTGACACTATCGTCGCGAATGTATCCGCCGAACCAGAGGACAGGTGCATCATCCTGGTTGGTTACGACCATCAAATGGGACAACTATTCAACAACAGTAACCCTGGGCTCCAGCGACGGTTCCCCAAGGAGACTGCCTTGCGATTCGACACCTACAGCGAGGACGAGCTGTGCCAGATCATGGATCTAAATGTCGACAAGAGTGGTCTCGAGATGTCAAAGGATGCTGCGGCGGTGTCTAGACAAGTCCTGGGCTGCATGCGTATCAACCCAAAGTTTGGGAACGCGGGAGACGTCGAGAATCTACTCAACCAGGCAAAAGTCCGCATCAACGCACGAATCACGTCCGCATCCCGTGGATCAGGGTCTGTACATGTTGTCATAGAGCCTGGCGACATCGACCCACATTGGGACCGGGAATCACAAGCCGGCGAAAGTCGCGCTACGCTATTTGAAGGCTTCGTCGGGTTCAATAGGATCGTTGAGCAATTCCAAGGCTATCAGCACCTAGTCGCTGGCATGCGGCTTTACGAGATCGACCCCAGACCTCACGTCCCATGGGCCTTCATCTTCAAGGGGCCACCGGGTACTGGCAAAACTTCAACCGCGCGGAAAGTTGGGCGGTTATACTACGACATGGGCCTCCTTTCCACAGACGATGTTGTAAGCTGTTCGGTCAGTGATCTTGTTGGAAAGCACGTGGGAGAAACGGGACCGAAAGTTCTCAACACTCTCGAGACTGGCCTCGGAAAGGTCTTGTTCATCGACGAAGCCTATCGGCTTGCGAACGATTCCGAGTTCCATGTAGAGGCTATCGGCGAGCTAGTCGATGCAATGACCCAAGTGCGCTACAGAAACAACATGGTTATAATCTTGGCAGGGTATACCGTCGAGATGGACTTTCTCCTACAGGTCAATCCTGGATTGCGTAGTAGATTCCCAGAACAGATTGTATTCCAGCCCATGAGCTCACACGCATGTCTCAGGCATCTGAGTCAAGAGGTCCAGAAGCTCAAGATCAACATTCTGGGACCAAGAGGAGCAAATGACGACAAGTTAGAGACGGTCTATCGTCTTTTCAAAAAGCTCGGTCTAACGAGGGGATGGGCTAGCGGTCGGGACGTTGAGACTTTAGCCAAGACCATCATAGGAAACGCGTACAAGCGGGCGGGAAGAACAGAGAAGAAGCTAGACACGGGCTCGCTGCAAGTCAATTTGGAAGAAGTGATCGAAGCTCAGAAAGGGATGCTGGCGGAACGCCTAGGGCGAATGAGCGATGAGGCGGATGAGTAGACTGTAGGCTATAAACTTAGTGTGCCAAAATGCGACACGAAGCAGATTTAGCCCAAAGGTCAGTCATGAACATCATCGTGTCTCTGCCAGCGGATTCAATGAGGCCGACGGTCTTCTTATCAAGGGCATCAGCATCGCCTACTCGAGCGCATGTCGCGAAGCGGTCACATCTCGTTTTTTGCCCCTCATTGTGGCCATGTAAGTGGGTAACAGAATGGCGTGCCAGCCAATGCCCCAACATACGAATGTACCTTCCATCGCCTCTTGTCCTATTACTGCTATCTCTTATATTATCCTTCCCTATCTTTCTGACGTACATTGCTTATAAGATCAGAAACAAGAGAAGAAAGACCAGAACTAGAAACAGTAATAGTAGTTATGGAGATCGAGACAAGCCAAGCGGAAGATTATTCTCTTGCTATGATTCTACCCCACGGTCCACAAGTCAAAATAGGGTTTCGCAACGGTTAAGAGAGCCCATGTCTTCATTGGCGCGCAAGCACGAGCAGAAAAGTTTAATCGTCAAAATTCCATTCCGGATTTGCATTTCTATAATTAGAAAAATGCCTCTCAAGCTGTGTTCCCACCAATGCCGCCATTCCATGTCAACGCCAACACCAAACGCCGTCTCATAAAATGTCTAATGACAAGCTCACACACTGACGTCCGAACCACCGTTTCGAGGCATTTCAGACGACCTCCCAGTGACCTCGTTCTCGTTCGTCTCTGTGACTGCGTCAAGTATCACAGTCTCACCAACTCGTATCTTCCTCGCGACTTATAATCGCCCCCCAAATCTTCTCGTCTTCTTCAACGTGATACCCAGAGTTCGGACCCACGATGGTGAGGGACCCATACAGGAGCAGTTTCTTGCATTTCCTACAACACCAAGTCAGAATTTACGCTTCTCCGAGAGAGAGAGAGAGAGAGAGAGAGAGAGAGATGGATCAACTTACAAGAACCCATGTATTGTTGTGTTCCCGTATATCTCGAGGTCGTTCACCTCACACGTCCCCATGACCCTTAACTTTCCGAAGCCTTTGACCTTATCACTGCCATTACATGTGTCAGCGCCATCTTTATAGATAATCGTGGCATATTCAGACACAAACTCACCCAATAGACATGTACCCCACCACCGAAATATTGCCATATGCCTTCATCTTCCCACTACTCACGCCATGATATTAGTATGCGTTTCGTCTCCGTGTGTGCTCATTCTCCAGGAAGTATGAAAGGTACTTACTCGCAAACCAAATTCCCATTGACATCAACCGTGCCATACGCCTCAACCTTATCCCTCACATCAAAGTCTCCATTCAGCGTGATATTCCCACCAGCCTTCACAGAACCAGCAACCTCCAACGGGCCTTGTAACACAATTTCACCCTCGCTCCGTATGGACTTGGACTGGACGACAGCCGTAGTCGTCCCCGCTACCGCCGCCGCACCGGGCGTCTCGTCGTACTCCGTCAGCGGACTAGGTCCGGTCGTAGCCGTGGTCGACGAGGAAGCATAATAGCTACCCGTCGTGCCAGCGGGAGAAACCTCGTCGTAGTATTCGTATTGGGCGGCAGAAGCAGCAGCAGCGGCGGCGGCGGCGGCAGCGGCTTCCTTGCCCTTTCTTGACGACTGCTTGGACTTAGGAGCCATTGGTCCGTCTTATATCTCAGTAAAAAGGGACTCTAAAAAGCCCAAAAAGATGACTGTGAATGGTCTCCACTGAGGGGGATATGTGAAAATAACTCTCAAGCTCGGTAGTCACATACCAAAAGCCATACACACACCCGAGAAAAATGGGCGGTCCGTTGAAGATCATATATCGACAAAACAGCAAGAAAGCTGCCCCGACTTCTCCATACCTACCTTACCTCTCCGACTGGATCAAACCACCACCATGCTTCGTCCGCCCGGCACGCTGGGCAGAATGCCCACCGGAGACAAGCAAAGAAACGAGATCAGCCTCAGCCGCTCCACGAACAAAAATCGAAACATCACTTTCCCAATCAAGAGTCCGACCGGAACAAGCTGAAGGACAAACTGCAAGTATGAGTTCCTGCCCCCCCGGTCCATCACCGTCACTCAAGGAAGAAAAATTGCAGACGATACGAGTCTGTCTACGACAATGTTCTCCCGCGGTGTGCCTGAACACCCAGTTCCCTCCTCCCAGTCCGGCAGTCCCCTCCCTTTTCGCCCTACATAGAATAGGTCGGCAAACTCCATCTTCCGTGCCTCCCACCTACCCCCTGCTCAAAAAGTGATATAATCCCAAGAGCTGATCTACTGATCGTCGTTTTCCCGGTAAATCCCCAGTTCCGGAGTTACCCCCCTCCCCATCCCAAAAGCCCAACCCCCCACACCCATGACCCGAATAGCCGCGTTCAAGTGCACGGCATATTAGTCAGGTAGGTGCAATATTTCCCAAATCTCTTTTGACGTCGTCGTCCTGGCGCGGCAGCCTAAATCCATCCATCCATTACCCAGCTGTCCCAGGGACACAATGTCGATGATTCATTGCCCATTTACCCACCCCAGCTGGCCAGCTTCCAGCTCCCAGCTCCAGCCGCAATGCTACGGTACATGGGAATGCCCCCCTACGCGCAACGACAAAGATGTCAACTTTGCCTGCCGCCCTGCCGCCGCCCTGCGTCCGGGCAACAAAGCAAATCCGACCGCAAGCCCTGATCTACCTCACCTAGGCGCGGCACGCAGCGGCAGCGGCAGCAGCAGCAGCAGCAGCCTCAATGGCACGTACAAAATCCACATTACGTGCAGATGCAATGTGCCGCAGGCGAGCAAGCAAATACGCAAGGTGGCCGAGAAAAGGCAAGAAAAAAAAAAAAAAAGACTTCATTCAAATGTCTCATTGTCTCAGTTGAATCCCGCAAGCCCGTCACCCGTTTGCCCGCCCGCCCCCCTCTCCTCCACCCCGATAAAGAAAAAAGCAAAAAGAAAAAGTGACCGAAAACTGCCTTGAGAAACGCAACAACCCACGATATGCCCCCACATTAGTATGTAGGCATCCCAAGGAAAAATAAGAGGCGACGAAACACTGGCCGATAATCCTCTCGGTATGGTTCGCCAAACCCAACTAGCCCATAGCCCTGGCGCAAATCATCTCCATCAGGAAAATCCGGACAGAGGTGGTCATGGATGTCATGGGATGAAAGTCTTCAAGCCCGAGCTCCGAGCAGGAGGATATGGAGTAGGTACCTTATTGCACGTCAAGTTCCACCACCGATACCGTGACACGGTACATCTAACACCTTAATCCAGGAACCTGGAAATCCTCCTCTATTATCCACCCTGCCTGCACCTGCACCTGCAACCGCAATTGCAACCTACAAGTACAACCCCTGCGCCTGCATCTTGCGCCGCGCTCTGCTCGAGGCTTGCATATTATTTGTCCGCCTCACTTAAGACAAGTCTTTACAATATCAATGTTGCCATATCCTGGAGTCATGTCCCCCGTATGATCCGTAGCCCAGCAAGTGGGTGACATAATCGTTTGCCGCTCTACGGACCCTAGCTCTTTTCCTGCTGCTCTTATTTCTGTGCTCTTTTGAAGAGTATTCTCTAGCGAATATCTAAAAGATATGAGTAGTAGCAGAAATACAGACAAAAAGAATAAGAAAGAAGAATAAGATAGCAGGAATGATAAATAGGTCGTAGGGAAGTATTGTAATCTTTTGTCGACCAATATTCTATTTTGTTGCCCACATGCCCAGCTCCAAGGGAAAGAACAGTAATCAGCCGCGCAGGCAACAAGAAGGCAATCCCTATCAAACTGGAAAACCATATTCCCCAAAGGCACCAAACTAACCTCAACAGGTCCCCTAAGCGTCCAACAGGGTCACCGAGCCCGCATTGGTAAAAATCCCAATATCCTGCTTTTTGTCCTTGACCGAAATCTCCTTCGTCATTTCTACACCACCTACCTCCCCACCTTTTCAGCCCTACGTCGGCTAACCTGACCACTCACCAGAGACATCAGACAGCCTCCCCCCCTCCCCTTCCCCCCTGTATCCGTCCTGCCGTCCCAAAAAATCCAAGACAAGGAAACGAAACAAATTCCGCTAGCTTCCTGCACGAAGCCGATTGATTGGGACTAGTCCCTCGATTCTATTGTCCAGGCGAGGCTGACTTTCTGGCAAGGGGGGAAGGAACCCCGGGGGGGGGGGGGTTCTTCCTGGTTGAAGGTGTGGTGTACCGACTCCGTAAAAGGTCACGAGTGTAGAACATATGCATGCCATATTTAGCCAAAGTGAACAATCGCGAAACCATCACGTCACTGATGCTCGGTCCCCCTACCCCCCTGCGATATTGGCTTGAACGTTGTCTTGACAAAGGTCTCGCTCTGGGAAACTGCAGTATCACGGGCATGTAGGAAGCTGCTAGACAGACAAGACGCACGAGGAATAGGAAGGCCAAAAAGGTGTATACACTACTCGAGACATAGACAAAGAAAAGAGATGACGCAAGAAAAGATTGGTATACATCGACTTGGATGGATCACTGGGCAAGGCAGCTGCAGTAACAACCTCTTGATGTGCATCATCGCCCCTCCAAGCAAGCAACTTCCCCCTCCTTTCCAAGGCTGCGCAAAGTTGCCCGAATAGCAACACAAGAAAGAAAGAGACCACCCTTGGCCTCGAAAAGCCCCAAAACTCCTCTTCTTGGACAGTCATTGTCTGCTGTCCGCCTCGCCAAGGTAGAATTTGCCTTGGTCACGAGGCAAAGCAAGGTATACGTCCCCCAATCCCCGCTCATGAGTCTCCACCACCGACGAATGCAAGACCGATACCGGTAAAGAATGCCGCGGCGACCCAGGCGCCGGAGTAAGCAGTCGCACCATACGACTCGACGCCGTTGACGGTCATGAAAGTCTGCAGATAAGTGTTGACACCCGTGACGACCATGGCGACCGCGGTTCTCAGGATGACAACCTTTGCGCGCGTCGTGTAGCCCCAAACGTTCCACGCCAAAGTCTCGCCAAGCGTGGCCGTCGCAGGGTCGAATTCGGCCAGCTTCTCGTCCTCGGAAGTCTCGCCAGTCGCGA